CATTTCATTTCATTTCATTTCATTATATAACTAAAATTTACGTGGCAAAGTTCTATTTAATCTGGTGAAGGGATTTGCAGAGTCCTTTTTTTGTCCAGCAAACGTACATCAATTTTAAAGCTGGCTGGTTGATTTATAAAATGTAGACCCATACCGCTTACCGGGTATGACCAATACCAACGTTGTCACTTCATAACATTACCAGAAGCTTCATTTCCGAACCAGGTTTTTTTCTTATAATAAAACAGCAGGTCTAAGTTATGTTTGAATACTATGTTAATTTTAACCCAATCATAGGTTAGCTGTTTGACTTTTTCCAAAACCAGCTGAAAATGTTCTTCATATGATTCATTGGACTCTGTAATTAACTTCCACTCAAAGCTGTCCTGAATAACTGACTGCAAATCCTTTCCTTTCCATTTTAATTAACCGCGGCCTAAAGCGTAAGTGGGAAAGTGAGGGAGGAAAGAAATGAGTGTGAAATAATGAAAGAGATCAAATCTTAAGTAACTGGCAGCAGCTTTGACAGAAAATTAGATTAATTTTCTGCTGAGAGCAATCACTGTGATTTGAACTGATTAACGCTGAGAACGTTTCTCGGGTAGCACTAGTTGCATGTGCGATAAGAAGTGTACTACACATATTTACCTCACCAGATCAAATAGTGATTCTTTCTTGTTGGGTATCTGTCAAGTTTCAAGAATCTCCATGCACAGTCGGGGGCTTTTTAACCAAGTAGGAATCACATCCTAAAACCTGCTCATTTTATTAATTCATTTCTGTTGTTGCTCCCTGTTGGAAAGACAATCAGAACATTCTACAGTTAGACAGATTGTGCCATGCCAGGAGACAATCAGTTTTATGTGGGTGGGAGATGCTTATTAGGAAAACTTAACCATTAAATATTTATACATGTTAAAATAGATTGAAAGAATCATTTGGGTAAAATTAGGCACCTAAACAAAATAACATAGAAAATGATATTAGTAATTTGAGCTGACTTCTTTGAAGAGCATGGATACATAATATTAATAGTTGCTTTGCTTTTATCTTAAAAAAGTCAGAGCTGCAATTCCTTCTGAACAACTATATAATTACAAGACAACAGAATAATAAATTCTGAATGAAACATGAAATGCAGAAGTTCATAAAAACAAAGTTTTTTTTTTTAAATGAGCCAGAGAAAGAAACCTAACCCCCCCAACGCCCCCCCCCCCACCCCTTCGGAACCATTAGATAAAAGAAACACAA